GGCGGGGCTTAGCGGGGGGCCCCTGTCCATCTGGCCATTCCCCTGAGCCAAGTATCAGCCTGGCACGAAGGCCCTCACCTCCGTCTGCTGCCCTCCAGGAACCCACTGCTCCAGACACTCTAGAAACCATTCCCCTTTCCTTTAACAGAAAACATCCCTCCTGTCACCATCCTTTTTCACTCTTGTTCTAAATCCCCACAGCTTAATTCATCCAAGATGATTTCCTTAGGCAATTTTCTAGAGTGAGACTATTGGGACAAAGGATATCTATATTTTTTAAGTCTTTTGACATAGAATGCCAATTTGCTTTCCATAAAGGTATGTGAACTCATCAGCAGGTGTGTCTGAATACCCGTTTCCTGACATGTTTATCTAACACTCGGCACTGGATATTATCATTTTTAATTTGGGTGGTGCATTTGGTTGGTCCGCAGGCAGTAGAGCACTATGGAATAAGACCTAGGTTCAAACCGTGGCTCTGACACTTCCTAGCTTTGACATCAAATAATTTTCCCTGTCACAGCCTCGGTTGCCTTATCTGGCAAATGGAGACAAACTTTCCAGGATTGTTATAAGCAAGGTGTAAAGTCCTTAGAATGGCAAACTGGTAAGTAAGATGGCCCGCAGGACGCATCATAATAAAGGTCAGCTATGGTTATCATTTCCCTGTGAGGACGGATGACTGATTTTACCTTCCTGAGCCTGCTTCTTAGTGGGGATCCGTCACCCTACTCCCTTGAGGAGACTGGCCGTGGGGGGAGAAGTTACAAAGACGATGTGCGTGAGGTGCGAAGCCAGTTCCTCCGGGTGTGGTCAACAGACCACTAGAATCAGAATAACCTGAGAGAGTTTGTTACAAACTGCATATTCCTGGTTCCGGACTCAGACCTCCTGAATCAAGACTCTTTGTGGTTGGGGCTCAGGATTCTGTGTTTTTAACAACTCCCAGGTGATTCTGATGCCCTGGCAAGCTGGAGGACTACTGTGCTGAACGCAGGGCCCGGTGTACGGTAGCTGCTCAATTAAGCAGCCAGGATGAGGATTATTAAATATGCTCTAACAATTTCCAGGGCACACCATCCCTGATTCAAAGAAGTTCAAAGGCCATCAAGAGTTCCAGGGACAGACATAATCCTGGATTCCTGGAGCAAAGCCTCAAAGGGTGGTGTGGGGGATATGATGGACTGACGTTGTAGTGGACGATACTGCATAGGCGGGGGAGCTTAACAACTACACTGCCCAGCATCCCTTGCAGCTACGATTCCACTGTGATTTGGGTCTGACGATAAGTTGCATTTTTGTGGGTTCTAGAAGGCAAAAGGTAGTGTCCCCTCTTCTGCCACTTCCGCTGACCAGTTGAGGTCATGAAAGCAATTGGCATTTACTACACTGGTGAGCAGTCATGCACCTTGAAAGGCAAGGGCACAGAGTATTTGTTTTTGGCCAGTGCAAATGTAGCCACTGATGGGTCACTCAGTCCAAAAGAACGTTCTGTGATGATGGCAATGTTCTCTCTTAGTACTTTCCGACATGATAGCCATCAGCCACGTTTGAAATGTAGCTAGTACAACCAAGGAACTGATTTTTAATTCTGTTTACATTTTAAAGTTAATTAAGTTTGACTCTCCACATGTATCAAACAGTGTAGTCTAGAGCCTACACTCACAGCGACCACAGCATCCTATTCCTGACTTGCAGCTCTGACCACAGAGTTTTCTTGAACTCAGTCGTTCCTGGCTCTCCACCCTCCTGCCTGTGGCAGAGGCGGCAGCTCCCATGGTGGTCTGTTCTGTGGTATTGTTCTGGGTGTCCTCCCAGCTGAGAGCCCTCCCTTCTAGCCCTTCCAAGCGAGTATGGAAGCCCCTAATTCCCTGTATTAATTCCCTTCTGCTCAAAGAGACCAGGCACGGGTTCCATCTGATGCTCTGAGTCTTGACACACTGAGGCAAGTCGTTCTGTGAAAACGGTGCGTCACCTCTCCTGTCCCCTTACCTCGATGATCCTGCTCCACAGGGGCTGGTGGGACTCTGCACTCCACAGATGCACCAACTTATCCTGCCCACATGTCACAAACTGTGCCCGGCTGGGGTGCGTGGCCAGGCCCCACAGCTCTTCCATGTGGCCCTGGCAGAAAGGGAAGACAGAAGCATGAAGACCACAGGTCCCAATCCTTCCCCCCGAGCCTGATGCCAAAGAGAAGATCTGGACTAGCCCCGGCAACACACCTGCTCACAGGTGACCCAGGAAAGACCCTTTCCCCCTTGTGTCTTAAGAAGGCTGTGATCGGGCAGACCCCTGCCACCACTGTGTGACTTGAGGCACCCCCCCTGCCCCCCACTCTGCTTTCTAGTTTTCACAGTGGGCGGCAAGAAAGCATGATGGGTAGGAGCTTGACCTTGGGAGTCAGATGGCACCCAGAAGGCCTGGTGGGTCTGACTTCAGCTCTCTCTTACTGACTCTGGTAGTCACCTGGACAGGTGACTTCTCTTGGAGCCTCAGTTTAATCTTCTGTAAAATGGGGCTAATCATCACACATGCTCACTCGAATCATGGATGGAAGGTGTGTGAGGCCACTACAAAGTGCTCACCAACTGGAAGAGGCTAACTATCCTTATTAGTAACATATTAACATCGTCTTAATAATAAGTCATTAAGATTGGTAATCAATGTAATTATCATTGGCATCAGTATAATAACGACGATCTGATTCTAATAACATATTAATATATATTAATAATACAGGATGTTGAGAATATCATTAGGGGTCTCCAAGGTCCCTTCTGGGGACACCTAGACAACCCCTCCAGCCCTCGTTTTTCTTTATCTCTTTCCTACGGACACACGAGCCAGAGGTGGGATCTAAATGCAGCAGCGCTGATTTCAGCTAGCCTGTCCGAGGGCAAATGCACGGAGCAGGTGAAGGGAGGGAGACCATCGAGGCACAGAGAGGTTACTCCCTTGCCTTATGCCACACAGCGAATGAGCGACAGGCCTGTGATTCAATCCTAGGCAGCCGCACTCCAGAATTCATATTCTTAACCATCGTACTATACCACCAATCAGGAGGTGGGATTCTTAAGTGGGTGGGGAAGGTTTTGGCACACCAGGAGGGAGGCGCGGGTATCTGAGCTGCAAGAAGAAAAACAGGAAGACTCCAGAGGGTCCTCCCAGATCCTTGGAGCTGCAGACCTGGGAGGTATATGGCCCAAGGTGTGTGCAGCCTGGGTGACAGCCGGCCAGGGCACTTACCAACAGAAAAGGCCACCACCCTGATCAGAAGAGCTGGGGGCAACACAGCTGGAGCAGGATCCTGAGGACCCTCTGCTGTGCTAGCAGTTACCCTGCTGGCTGCTGAATCATGGGAAGTTCCAGGAGGGGTCCTAGTCAGGGGTGGGGTTATGGAGCGAGAGCAGGTAAACGGAAGGTAAGTGATGTTTGCCAGGTCAGATGAAAAGGGATGGGGCAGGGAGGTGAGGAAAAACCAGAATGGAGAGAGAAGAGGGGTGGGTGGTGCAGGGAAGAGAAGAGAGACTGGGGGT